TCTCTAAATAAAACAGAGCTTGTTTAGAAATAGATAGTCTATCTTCTGGGAAGTGGCATGACTTGCTTAAGAATAATAAATAATAATTCTGGTTTTTATTCTATGTATTTTCTATCATAAGAATATATATTGACAGTTCTCTCTCTCTCTCTCTGTCTCTCTGTGTGTGTGTGTGTGTGTGTGTGTGTGTGTGTTTGTCTGTCTGTCTTAGTCTTCTCAAGCTGTCAAAACAAAATACCATAGCCTGGGTGACTTAAACAACATCATTTATTTTCTCATAGTTCTGGAGGCTGGAAAGTTTATCATCAAGATTCTGGCAAAGTTTAGTTTCTGGTGAAGACTCTATTCCAGGCCTATAGTTGACCGCCTTCTTGCTATGTCCTCATATAGCAGAGAAAGCAAGCAAGCTCTTTGACATTATAGGGGTAGCAATCTCATCATGAGGCTCCTGCCTTCATGATCTCAGCGAACCTAATTACCTCCTAATGACTCCATCTCCAAGTATCATCACATTGGGGGTTAGGACTTCAACATATGAATTTGGTAAGGGGAAGTGAGAGACACAAACATCTAGTCCATAGCAGACAGTGAAATCTCTTGACCAAGTAAGGGATTTTTTTCTGAAACTTCTATAACAACGAGCCATCACTCAGCCATCCACCCTCATGGTTGGATTAATGCTTTTATGAAAGAAGCTGAAGGGTGCCCTAGTGCCCTTTTGGCATTCCCTTCCTTCTGTGCCTTGTGGGGACACCTAGATGAGAAATAGTCCTCACCAGGCACAGAACCTATTGGTGCCTGAATCTTAGACTTCCTGGTCTCTGGAACTGTGAGAAATACATTTCTGTTGTTTCCAACTTACCTAGTTTCAAGTGTTTTGTTATGGCATCACAAATGATCTAACGGACTAAGACATTAAGAAAAGGGAGTATTCATATTCAGCAATGATGCTGATGATGGCAGATGGCCATGGACCCCCTTTGTTGTTTCTCATACCCTGTCATTGCTATAGAAGCTGGGAAGAGAAGGAGTCCATATGAAAAAGTCATTACAAAATGAAGATTTAGAAGTGTTATTTTCTGTCCAAGTTGTTGTTCTAGGAGATACTTTAAAAGTGTGTTTCTCTCAAGTAGTTGACAGTCTATTTGAGCATGTGGAGCGGTTCGGCTGTTTTAAGGAGCTATGCCCAGCCTAGCATAGGCAACCAACATACAGAAGAAGAAATGCTGTTAATGGAACATAGATTTTTGTAAAATGTATTTTCAGTTGGCCCTTGACTTACTTTGCTCTATCTCTGCAAGACCCGTATTAATGTCTTAATTCACCTTGCTGAACTTGAGGCAATTCTATCCTTTTAAGTTTAGGAGGCAAGATCGGTTGCCTAATCTGACTGACTCCTTTGAGTTTGTTTCTGTGTGGGAGGGAGGAAAAAATGTGTTTTTTTCCCTTTACAAACCAGGGACAAGATCCCTTTGATAAAGGGAAATAGTCTTCTTTTTTAAGCAAATACTTTTTTATTTATAAGTAGAATAACTTTTGGGGGGCAGCAAATGGGAAAGGTGAAGTCTCGTACTCTAGAGCATGATTCAGATAGATAGGCACAAATTAAACAAAGGGAGTGATAGTTTGTTCTGCCTAAAAACAGTAATAAGAGGGGAATATAGAAACTGGGGCTGGATGGGAAGATATTAAGAAAGAAGAGGGCGAGAGAGCAAGCAAGAAGAAGGTCGGTCAGGGCTGTACAAGAAGAGAGTCAGGTGGTGTTGACATGAGTGGAAAAGATCTTTTTATGTTTTATGTCTAGTTCCTTGATACAAACTTGTAGTGGGTTTTGTTTTTTTTGTTTTTTTTTTTTTTTGAAAAAGTGATTGGGGGCTATCTGACCTGGGGTTTAGGGCAGGGAGGAAACAGCATGTAAAGGAGAAAAGACGGAGTATTTGGTAAAGAGAATTTAACAGCAATAGGAAATAAGAACCAATGATGCCAAGGATAAATGCAGTCTTTACTCCCGTATCACTGCATTCTTGGAAATATGGGGGTAGGGGTGGTGATGGTAATTCTGTTTTCTCCCCTTAGGTAGGAAGAGCATTGGGCTAAATGTACTTTCTCTCTCTCCCTCTCCTTTCTTAAGTATTAAGGGACAGACTATGGGCTGGAGGACTTTGAGGATGTCCATCTCATGACATTTGGGTTATATCTGTTCTATGGGGCTTATTTTAAGCTCTGTAACTTCCAACAGGGTTCACTGACTTTCTCCCAAGACCTTAGGTACTGTCCTCTTTTCAGATCTGTTTTGGTGCCTCTGGGTCTTGAATATCTGAGAAAATATAAATATAAACATTTCAATAATTTTCTGTGGTGAGACGAGTATGACAGATGCGTCATTCCTTTGTATCAACGAATGAATGAGGACAATTAGCGCATAAATCCCGAGTACAACAATCTGAGGGTAGGGGTGGTACCATCCAATTTCTATTTATAAAGCTATTTATTTCTAGTTATTTATGCTTGTGACAAATGTTTTATTTAGGACCACAGGAATCACAAAGATGAGTTTTTGAATTTAAGAAGTTAATGGTCCAGGAATAATTACATAGCTTACAAATGACTATGATATACCATCAACAAGAGGTTTCATGAAAAAAATAATCTGAAAGGTTTAATAAGTTGTCAAAGGTGAGAGGGCTCTTCTCTAGCTAGGGACTAATCAGAAATACATTCATGGATAATTATTTGAATAGACAGACCTTAAGGGTTGGGTACTTTTTTCCAAGCATTGATGGAGAAGGAGAGTGGAGATTTGAAAACATTTTCAACCAACCAACCACCCAATCCAACAAACAAAAAATGAAAAGGATCTCAGAAACAGTGAGGAAAGAGAAGGAATTTTCTCACAACCCACATGTATAGCTCAACTGCTCTGAAGAAGAATATATCTAATATTTAACACTAACATCATGCTAACAATGATAATAATTACTTTCATTTTTTAATGTCTGTAGGTACCAGGCAGTTAGAAGATATTATTCCATTTATTATCAAAATAAACTTCAGGGGATAGATCATTTTCATGATATATGAGAAAAACTAAAAATCAGGTTAAATTATTTGCCTAATGTCATATAGCTAATAATTGACCATAAGACAATTAGATTTGAATTAGTTTTGCATCTTTCTAATACCAAAGTTCAGTTTACTGTTCCATGTTGCTTCTGAGTCTTTTCACAGACGTATGAAAAAGTAAGCGGAATCAGAATTACATCAATGCAAAAGCATTGCCGTGAACTCTGTACTTAGGACTTTCAGCAATAACACATATAGATTGAGGATTGTTTGCCGTTAGTATACAAACTCTGGTACAAAGCTCGTCTTTATTGCTTGTCTTGGAAAATTTGCTATTCTTCATGGTTTCTCTTTTCACTAGTATCTTTTTTTCTCAACCACTCACAGGGCTACAATAATTGTCTACGAACTTATGATTCTGAAATATCTATCTCTAGCCTCAATCTTGTTCCAGAAGATAAAAAGTAGCATTCAAATGCACATCAACCTCTCCACTTGGAGGGCTTAAAGACGTTTCAAAATGCAAACCCAGGAGTTTTGCCTAGAATGCTTCCTAAAATGTGTCCTGTAGCACATAGGGTCCTCTTGTTCCTTAAAATTTAGTTACATTGAGCCCAGTGCTCATCCCACCTATGGGGAGATGAGAGTGAAAAGGGAGCCTGATTAATAATTACACTAAGTCAATAGGCATAGAGCCAGCACTGTTTGGGTAAACTGGTCACTTTATCTTAAACTCAATATATCCAAAACTGAACATGTACTTAGTTACTAAGTCTTTGACTTTATCTCATTCATACCGCTCAGCTTTATCCAGCCCACTTATTTGACAGTATTATTGCGAAAACTTCCTAACTGGTCTCCTTATCATAGTCTTATCCCCTTTTGAAACAAAAGAGACAGTTTCAAAGTACAAATATGATTTTTATTAGCTCCCTTTTGTTGTCCATAATAGCCCCAGAAAGAGGAATAAAGTCCATTTAAAAAGTCTTTGAGAGGTGGCCCTTGCCAACTTTGCCAGGAATTCCCAATATCTAGTATGTTCTATTAAACTTTGTGCCTCTTTGAAACTGCATTTTCTCTCATTCCGTAAGTGTGCATTGTTCTCCCTTACCAGTTGGCTTTTCCACTGCCTTTTACATTTTTCTGGAACACTATATCCTCCCTCTTTATTTGACTCACCTCTAATTTTCTTTCAGATCTCCACTAAGATGTTACTTCCTCTAGAAAGCCTGACCTGATGCCTCTAAAGATGCCCGGAGTTCCTCTTTTCATTCTACTTATCACAGCATCCATCACACCATGTTGTGATTACTGATATTATTGTCTGTTTCTCTGATTAGGCAGTAAGCTCAACAAGAGCTAGATGGTGCCTGTCTCTTGTTGCTCATTATTCCCATCCAAAAACAGTGCGTGGAGTGCAGACTTAACATTTTATTGGACGAATAAATAAAACCCCATCTATCGAGTGCTACTTTGTGCAAGACCCGGTTCTGAGGCAATTATATTTATTGATGAATTTAATTCTCATTTAACCACGAAGGAGGTACTATCACATCCTCATTTTATAGATGATAAAGATAAAGCCCAGAGAAATTAATGAACTCGCCCAAAGTCATGTAACTAAGTGACAGGGCAAAAATTCAAACTGTTCCCCAACTTTACATGATTAATACTGTGCTATACTGCCTCTCTGATCATATGGCATGGAATGGCAGACATCTGCTCCGTAAGGCAGAATATGGAAGGAGATTGGAGGATGACACAAATGCAGCATAATATCAGAGGAAAAGTCCAAATAGGACCTGGACTGATAGAAAAGTTGTTACTCCTGGTGTAGTCTCATCGACATCTTGATGAACTGGTGGCTGACACAACACACATTGGCTTGATGTGTACATATTATTTGTAGTTATGTGTCTATTTATATATATATATATATTTGTAATATTGAAATAGTCATAATTTAGTAAACGCCTACCGTTTGCCAGGCATTTTTACATTTGTCCCCTCTAATCTTTTGATGAGATGATCAGATTGGATTACTTGGCCTTGAAGATTATATTTATATATCTATATCTATATCTATATATATCAGAAAACCTGAAATACGTTTTGTAAAGTTATAAAGGTTTCAGATGTTATGGAATCTGGGATTTGCCAAATGTAACCCCTTTCTCTACGTTAAACCCATGGTTGGAGCAAATACATTTATTATTCATTCAGCAAATGTTGCTGAGTCCTGACTATGAACCAGGCACTGTGAAAGGCTTTGGGAGATTTTGCCCATGCTTGGGCAAGCTTATGTAGTTTGCTTCATAAAACTCCATTTCAGTTCCTCATAACTAATACTTCGAGACTATTGCTTTTCAGGTATTCCTTCCTAATAAATACTTTGGCTTTCATGTATTTGAGTAAAGTCCCCCTTGAGGAGGAGTAGAAGAACTGCACTTTGTAAATACTACCCTGGAATCCAAATGGATAGACAAGGATGGTGCTACCTCTTCCTGGAGAGTACGTGAGCAAGGCCTGTTTTGTTAACATGTTCCTTAGCAGACAAAATCTAGGAGAGCCACACATAGCAGAAAATGAGAAAAACCTAAGAAATGAATGGGAATTTTACTCGATTAGCATGGAAGACCTTGTTTATACTATGATAAATGTTTGTATTTGCTGGAAGTGCTACTGATGGTTAACCCTTTTTGTTTAAATGTGTGCCCTAGTAGCTTGCAGTATGATCTATTTTTTGAGTACTGTACTTACCTTATTTAAAAATTTATATTTAAAATTGCATACTGCTCTTTCACTGAAGAAGTTTTGAGAGAGAGATAGAATTAAATTCACTTACCTTACCATCTAGAGAAACCCGATGTTAAAACTTTGCTGTCCATTATTTCCTTTAATCAACACTTTTTTTAGAGGGTGGGAGGAGTAAAGAGGAGGTACAAAGATACACAAATGAGACCCCTCTCTATATATTGTTTTGTCCTGTTTTTCAGTTAGCAATATATTATGAGCACATTTCCATTTCATTAAATATTCTTCCACAGTTATTTTGATGGCTGTATATCATCTTACTTTATGAATGTACCATAGTAATTTATTTCCTGGTGTGGGTCATTTGGTTTTATAATCTTACCTTTAGAATCATGAAACACCTGTGAAGCTTTAGAAAATACTGGTGCCTGGGTCCCAACTCCACAGATTCTGATTTAACTGGTCTGGGTTACAGACTAGGCACTAGGAATTCAAAAAGTTCCCCCAGTGATTCTGATGTGTAACCAAGATTGGGAAGCCTCATAGACATGGATGATAGGAGGTGAACCACTATTAGCATCCATCATTTAGTATTAACATCATCATCTTGAGTTGCTAAGTGAATGGTGCAGCTGACCCACTTCATAAAGACACATGTGCAAATAAAATTATTATAGGACTTGGTTTATTAGGGCTTGTGCTCTAAGTTTTCTATGTTAAGTCATACATCACATACTAAATACTTTAAAATGTACCTTATTGACATACATATTAAGTGAAAAGTGTTTTTGAGCTAAACAATGACAGCATAATTATCAAGCAATGATAATTTGAAATGAATTTATTATTCTGCAACTTAGGGACAAGTTATCTCTTTGAATTATCTGTAGCTTGAGAATATTTGTTATATTTGCAAAATGAAGAGTCTGAATTGGTCAGACCATGTCTTGTGTGCCTGGCATATAATAGACATTTGATAGTTTTAAAGAATTAATGTATTAGATGAATTGCATACCAAATCTGATGTCTTTTCTTTATGGCTTCATTAACTTCTTAATTTGAGAGGAATTAGTTAATCTGCAACTTAGGGACAAGTCATCTCTTTGAATATTCTGTACTTTGAGAAGAATATTTGTTATATTTGCAAAATAAAATAAGCTTGCAATTTTTTTTTTCTGCCCCAAAGAGATCTGTGTCCTTGAACATAAAATACAAATAAGTGCTATGCTGTTAATTATTGGCAAATGTCCCATTTTCAACCTAAGGAAATACCATAAAGTAACAGATATACCAACAAAAAGTTACTAGTTAACAGGCATTGCCTGAAAATAGTATAAAAGAATTTCAGCACGATTTTCCATATTCTGCTTCCACCACTGCCAATAACAAAATAACTAGCAACCATGAAGTGGGTGGAATTAGTGTTTTTAATTTTCCTACTAAATTTTACTGAATCCAGAACACTGCATAGAAATGAATATGGAATAGGTGAGATATTTTGTGTTTCTCTTGTCTTTTCTCTATATCAAAATTTTTAAAATTATAAAATTTGCATTTATTCATTTGTCTTGATATATTTATCATGTTTATTATTCCACATGGAGAAAAAATATTTAACTGGTGGATATATTTAAATGAAAGATAAACTTCTAACTTTACAAGAGGTTTACAAAATTATAGCAGTGTTTATTGTGACAAATGAATGGTTTGTATGTTTCATGTTGAATTAATTTTTACACATTTATTTAATTGGTATGCATATTAACTTTGAAAAATTTTATATACACCTATATGTACCTATATGTGAATGTAAATAAAATTTTATATGTGAAGAAGCCAGAATTGTGCTCCTTCACATAGAAAACTCCCTCAGACTAGTAAAATAAGTAACATCTTTATTTTTAATACAGAAAATAGGTCACTATTTGATAGTCTGAAGAAGAAACACTGTGACTGGGATGTGAAAGGCAAACTGTAATATAACTATGTTCAAAAGAATGCCTGAAATATATTTTTAACCATTTAACTTTCAGGACAATTACAGCACTAGAGTACAGGGAAAAACCAAACAACTGGAAGACAAAATCTGTATTTTAGTGATAGGTCTACTATAAATTATGCCTGTTAACTTCATTCCTTAGTTTCCCAGTTTTCTCAAGTATAAAATTAAGATGCTTAGGTTATCTCTAATGTTCTTTTAGTTCTGAAACTGTACAGTTCTAACTGAAATACAAACATTCATATGTAACAATGATTACTTTCTTGGTTGCAGTTGAAAACACGTTTCATAAAGTTTATTTTGCTTTCCAGCTTCCATATTGGATTCTTACCCATGTACTGCAGAGATAAATTTACCTGACCTGTAAGTTTTGCTTATATAAATCTACTTTAAATGTGTAAAGCAAGGATAAGTAAATACTAAAACAAAATTGGGTAGCCCTGTGAGTTCTTAAAAGCACAAAAGCAATTTGTACAATTTCAAGAAAAGTTACTCATACCGAATATCAACTTGATGTTGAAGATGTTAAACTGTTGACTAATGTCTTAGACATTAACTTCTCGATTCCTTGAAATCCCATGAGGCAAACCAAATCAGATTTCAGAAACTGAAGATTAGTGTCTGATCAGTGACAGCCATATACTAATTCAGGAATTTTTCTCATCAGTATCAACAGGGTGATATTATAATGTTTTCTTTTCTATATACTATTTAAATCTTAGCAGCAAACCATAGGTAATAAAATATTCTATTTTCTGTTATTTGTGGAGAGTATGTTAGTCTCTTGGATGTCTTTCCATCCCACATTTTTAAAATTTCTAATGAAGAATTTAAAGTAGTGTGTTGCTGTTACTCCTTGCACATCCAAACCTGCATAAGGACTGCTTTGAGTCAATCCATGAGCACTGTAGTTTTGGGTTTTACACCTTGCTCATACTGGGAGTAGACACTGTTAGAGGTCTGTCTAATTACTTTTTTTTTTGCTTAAATTTAACAGTAACCGTGAGGAATGTAGATACCCTCAATTATGGGTGCATTGCAGTAGATGGATGGTCACAGAAGGAGGAACCACTCTTATGGGAAATCCACTTATTTTAGCCTTTAACATCTATATGTATATTTATGGGAAAAGAAAACAAGAAAAAGACTGAAGTTTCTTCTCAGATGACTAGAAGCTAATTTTACAAATCAAATGTCTAAACAGAATACAACATAAATAGAAAAGAAAACAAACCAAACAAACAAAAAACTATACTTGAGAAAAACAAGCTTGCTACAGGTCTGTTCCTTAAGGATTCACATGTATTTCTGTTTCAGGGCTACCATATTTTTTGCTCAGTTTGTTCAAGAAGCCACTTACAAGGAAGTAAGCAAAATGGTGAAAGATGTATTGACTGCAATTGAGAAACCCACTGGAGATGAACAGTCTGCAGGGTGTTTAGAAAACCAGGTGAGTGAATAATTTCAAAAAAGTATTGTGATATTTGACTAAAATTTAGCATGCCGAAGAGAAGATACAAAAATAGCAATGAAAAATGCATTTAAATATTTGAAGAGCTATTATATGAAAGAGGGATTAGGTTAATTCTGAATTGCTAAAGAGAGCGGAAGAGAACAATAGGTAGCTATTGTAAAGAGACCATATGAATATGATGACTAAGAGCTAAGGTTCTGAAATAAAATTATCTTGATGACTATGGGCGTATTAACTTTTTTGAGCTTCGGTTTTCTTATCTATAAAATAAGAGATGATAATAGCTCCCATTTCAGAGTTAGCATGGAAATTGATATAACAATAATAGTAGCTAACTTTTATTATACACACAATGTGACTGGCATTATTCTAGGAAGCATAACGTGTACATTGATAATAAAAATATTTTACAACATAGGGGATAGATAGCACTGATGAATCAGAATGGTTGTCCAGTGAGTCAAGAGATGCTGGCTGGGGCTTCTGGGCAGGATATCAGCTTTGCTTACCTATATTCATTTATTAAACATTTAAAATAATCCTTGAAGATAGATGCTAATCTTCCAGTTGAGGAAGTTGAGGTGCAGAGAATTTAAGTGACTTTCTTAAGGGAACCACCAAATGGCAGAGCCAGGATTTGAACTAGACCATCTGGCTTGAAATTGACAGTCTTAGTAGCTTCTTAACACTATAAGTATAGTGAATGTAAGATGCATAGCACATCGTTAGGGTTGCCAGGGTTAGCAAAGAACAATAAAACATAATACCCAGTTCAATTTGAATTTTAGATAAACACTAAATACTTTTCTTAGTATAAGGATATTTCAATGTTGAAACTCAACAAATAATATTTATTATTATTTATTTTATCTTAACAAAGAAACAAACTTCATAGTGATTAGAATTCTCCATTTATAAACCAACATGCCCAGAGAATACTCTATTATGGTGGGATTAATTAGGTGGCCAAAAGACAATGTACCTGGAATATCATAGAAGAGATGCCCTTTTAAATATATGGTTTAAGTACTTTCCAATTTTGAAATTTATGATTTGACAAAAATTTCTGTTTTGCATCTCTATTTTTGTCTTGTTCTGATAATCTTTTCAAAATGTGCATAAAAAACACAAAATACATTATCTATTGCAACTTTACATCCAATTAGAGGTTCGAGGTAAAGTTACAGATTGCTGATTTATTCTTGTAAATGTAAAGGTCTACCTTTTAAATGAGGATTGGGAATTAGAAATCTTATGTAAGCTTTCCAGGATTCTCTAAATATTACTGTAGCAGCTATAAAAGCTACATAAAAGTTTCCTCAGATGCATGAAACACATGTATTCCTCGAGGCTTTCTGTGGAATATTGGTGCTGTCATCTGAGTTTGGTAAGAGTAAGTCACAGACAAGGAAGCACATATATTTTAACACATTTTAGCTAAATCTGTAATTACGACCAAGAAAAGTTTTAAAAAAACTTTTTAAAAAAAGTTTTTAAAAAATCATTTTTCCAGTTTAAAATCCAACCATTATTTCATTTCAAAATCATTTTTATTTCTAATTAAAAATAATATGCAGTTTTTTATTGCCTTGTAAGGATGGCACATAAAATGAGCATTGATGTTTGAAATGTGGTATGTGTATATGAATATATATATGTGTATATACCATAATATATACATATGTATTTGCAATTCCAAAAGTTACATCTTTAATGAGAATAATGAAAATATTATTTTGCTCAGTTTCTTTTTTATTTATATTTAAATTTAAAGTTCTGTTGTGCATGTGCAGGATGTGCAGGTTCGTTACATAGGTAAACATGTGTCATGGTGGTTTGCTGCACCTACCAACCCATCAACTGGGTATTACGCCCAGCATGCATTACCTATTTTTCCTAATGCTGTCCCTCCCAGTACCCCACCCCCTGACAGGCCCCAGTGTGTGTTGTTTCCCTTCCTGTGTCTATGAAACATGGTTTATATATTTATAAAAGCTTATATATCTTAGTCCAAATTTTTGATAACACAAAAAGGAAAAACAAAATAATTCAAAATTGAGAAAGAGAAACAAAATATTGCATGGCTTTTTTCCTTTTATTGTTTGGAGATTAAAGTTTCATTTTCCATAAGGCAGCAAAGAAATCTATTTCATCAGGCTAAAACAAAATACATTAGAATGTGTACGGAAAAAGTTTCAGAATCTATAGTTCTGATTTTAGACATTAGAAAATGTTTGTGTCTTATAGATTTTTAAAGCAAAGTTAGTGTCTTTCACTAAACATAAAATATTTCTTGTAGCTACCTGCCTTTCTGGAAGAACTTTGCCATGAGAAAGACATTTTGGAAAAGTACGGACTTTCAGACTGCTGCAGCCAAAGTGAAGAGGGAAGACATAACTGTTTTCTTGCACACAAAAAGCCCACTCCAGCATCCATCCCACTTTTCCAAGTTCCAGAACCTGTCACGAGTTGTGAAGCATATGAAGAAGACAGGGAGACATTCATGAACAGGTAAGGATCCACTTTAAAGGTAGATGCAAACCTCAGAAACACAGCAATGGCAAGCCTAATTTAGTATTTTTGCAATGTACTCATGTACTCCCAGTAAGAGATATAATGTTTGTTTGGTGTTGTGTCTGCTGAGGTCCCAGGAAAGGTAATTAGGAGAGCAACATTTAGTGTAACTTTGCTTCCATAGCATGGTAGATGTAGTACAGACCACAGGACAGACCTACCAGAGGTTCCATTAGTCCCTTGAGAGATATACACCTTGTTTTCTTCTTCTTTTTACTTTTTACCCCTTCTGCTCTCAATTTTACCTTGTTCAAGAATATATTAGTATTGCACAAAATTGATGCTTTCCAGAGCCGTATATTGATGTTTTGTATTCACCTAATTGCCTAGAAATGAAAGTTAGAGATCCAAGCATGGTCAAGATACATAGACATGGCAAAGGTTTACTGAACACTTAGGATGTTGTGGAAACATGTCTGCTTGCACAGAGGATCGGATTAACACTCACAAACAACCTTTGAAGCCTCCTTCTCCTCTTCCTCTTCATTCTTCTTCTTTCCCCCATTTTGTTGATAGGAAATTGAAGGTAGGAAGGCTAAAACAACTGGCTAAGGGCACACAACTGGTACATTTGAGCCCATGTTCTCTGTTGGAGAAGCCTGTATGTAACTCCTCAGCATTTCTGCCTTCCGTGTTACTCCTAAACCAGATAAATAGAGAGACTGCCCTTAGAACATCTGTGCTATGGTGACTATCCAGGTGCATAACCCCATTCTGCACTGACAAGGGATACAATGTGCATCTTTCTGTTGCACTTAGCAGAAGTCTGGCTTTGCTGATCCCTGAAACATATCTGAGTAGGCTTATTGAAAAGGACCTTTTAATAAGAATCATAGTTAGCATGCCTGCCTATTTTCTCCTCGTAATAGAATCTGGTACCATCTGTCAGATATTTTTCCCCCCAGCATCTTTAGTGAGGAAACTTTTGACAACATGTAGAAAAAATATGATGATTTTCCCCTTAGAAACACAGTAAAGACAAAGTCAAATGCTTTTGTTGTTGTTATTTGAAGCTTTAAGTAAATCCTAGAAGCTTTAAGTAGTTCCAAGCAGTAGTAGTCCTATTTTTAGGTGTTTATAAATCTTCCACCTCTATTTTATTTCACAGATTCATTTACGAGATAGCAAGAAGGCATCCCTTCCTGTATGCACCTACAATTCTTCTTTTGGCTGCTCGCTATGACAAAATAATTCCATCTTGCTGCAAAGCTGAAAATGCAGTTGAATGCTTCCAAACAAAGGTATCATATTTGTGTGGATATCTGAACCAGTACTGTAGTCTGACTATGACTCATTAAAAAAAACAAAGTTAAAAATGAAAATGTGCTTAATGTGGAGAGTGTCATTTTTGGAATAGAGAAATAGTTCAGCAATCTGATATTCTTCGTGTGAACAAAACTGGATTTGCTAGTTTTTAGTATCTATTCATTAAGTCAACAATAACTTTATTATTAGGGAAGTGAGTTTGATGGGATAAAGAAGGAAAGACAGAAAGAGAGAAAGAGAAAGAGAGGCTGCTATAAGTGGGAGCGAGTAAGTGAAAGAAAACAGAGAAAAGGAGAAGCAGAGGAGAGAGAAAAAATAAAGGACAACTATGATAAATGCTTTATACTCACTGTTTTTTGAATCCTTAGAACAAATTTGAGGTGTAAGTATTTTTGTCCTTTAACAAACTAGGAAAGAGGTTTAGAGAAGAAAATTTTTTTTAGGTTTAGAGAGGTAGAATAATATCCACCATTAACTACTTGCCACCAGCAGTCCTACAACAAAAATTTCTTAAGAACTGTGACTACTCTTAGTGTCAAGCTGTGATACAATTGTATTTTTTGTAACTGAGAAGACATTTAAGAAATTAGCAGGCTTCAATTTGTCTTTAAGCTGTTTAAAAGTACAGTTTTTCATTGATGATCCCCAGTATAAAAGTTATGTTTTTGTTTCAAGGTATTTTGAGTAAATTTGTCTGGCACAGATGCATATAAACTAACCTAAAGGAATAAATGAGTCAATAATATTCTGCGATAATGTATGGCATTTATAATTTTTAGTAAAAAACATATTTTATGGAATTTCATTTTACCTATACTTGTTGTTTTTCTAAATATTAGAGCTCGTAAAGAAAATATTAGTATATGCTTTCATGACATCTTGTTTCTTCTACATCTAGGCAGCATCAATTACAAAAGAATTAAGAGAAAGCAGCCTGTTAAATCAACATGCATGTGCAGTAATGAAAAATTTTGGGACCCGAACTTTCCACGCCATGTAAGTTCAAGCTCTATCTAGGGAAGAGGGTGAGAGCTATAGAACTACCCTTTTGCAATTTGGGTTCGTTTTTCTAATTGTTGCTGTTTTAGAGAATGAAGACCCCTTTGAGACCCCTTTGATGAGGGCTAATGGGATTAGAACCATGAACTCGTAGGATCAGAAGGAAGCCAATGGATAAGTCAGTTTAACACTTACTAAAGCCTAGCTGAGATAATAAATGAAAAAGACTTTTATAGTTTGTGTTATTTACCTGCTCTTTAAGATACTTTAAGTTCTGGTCTGCAATCAAATTATACTTCATTACTAGACCATATTTTTCTAGCCCTTCTACAAAATAAGTCAGCCTTCACTGAGTATCATTTAAAACTTTTGCCTTAACAAGAAATTCTTTACATTAATTGTGTTTCTTAACTTTCTATAAGGCTCTTTATAGCATTTATTGCTTCCCATAAAAATATTCCCTTGAGGCAATAATATTAGAATCTAGTGTCAGGAGAAAAGAACATTTTAAATTATATAACTGATTTAAAGTACTCATCAACTCTTTTATGATGAAACATTTCTAGTATATGAAAATATCTGAGCTGCTAATCGAATAGTAGTAAGTATATATATTCAGAGTTTAGTTGATTGCTGTTTGATTAAATAACACTTTAAAACATATTGTAGACAATGGAAATCTATAATGAAGTTTTTATTAATGGAATTAGTTCTAAAGACTGAAATTTCTTCCTGTAAGAGATCAGATTTATGCCTTAACTACTCTCCAACTCAATTAGAAATTGAAAGATTAATTTATTACTTACTTCATTTAAATTTATCTTAGTAATAAAATAGAAATTGAGATAGTATTATAATAACCTTATCATTTGCTATCCATAAGTGAAAGCTAAGTGGTCTAAATTTATAGAGAAGATCCATCTTTATCAGAAGCAAGAATAACACTATCTTCTCTGGAACAGTGGTTTTACAAAGACAACTCTTAAAATTTAATGAAATATGCAGAGGAAACCAGAATTTTTATTTCTTACTTCTTTTTTGGCCACATTACTCTCTTGGCACAATGGTATGCCTGAAACGTTTAATCTGCTCCACTTTCTTGTCCCATTTCATTGATTTGCACATACGCCTCCTTTCCTGGATTCTCAGAAGTATTTTTTACCCCAGTAAAAAATGGTTCTCATTTCCATGGAGTTTTCCATTTCTTAATTGTTTATTCTTTTAAAGTTTTCTGTCCACTCAATACAAATGCTCAGCATCAGAGTGGAATGGCAAAAAGAATTTACCTTAATTTTTAAGACATGTTTTAGGAAGAGATAAATTTCTTCTAAACCATTTGTGAGGCCAGGTCACAGTTTACAGAGCTACCACCTTGAAAGACACAGCTGGAATCAAGCCTTACAACATGTTTCCTTTTCTTTTTAAACAACAAGGGAATTTCACTTGTTACTCTTTGAAACTTCTACTGTAGTAATACTCTGTAAATTCTATTTTGTTTTGACAGATAACGAAGAAATTAATTTCTAATTTCTTTTTTTTTTTTTCCTAGAACTGTTACTAAACTGAGTCAGAAGTTTACCAAAGTTAATTTTACTGAAATCCAGAAATTAGTCCTGGATGTGGCCCACGTGCATGAGCACTGCTGCAGAGGAGACGTGCTGGATTGTCTGCAGGATGGGGTGAAGAGTCTTACTTCTTAAAAAAGATAATTTTCACTCCCTTTTCTTCCTTTTTGTCTCATTCTAAAAGGGAGAAGGTTGTCTGACTTGAATTGGTTACAGGGTATGGAAACTAGGTGACTCCGTAAATTTGCAGACTTGTTGGTAGTAAAACTTAAGCCATCTTTTGTTGATTCTGGTTTTCACTTTAGCTATACCCCCTTTTGTGAAACCAAGGCCCATCTATTTCTTACTTCTAAAAAAACTATGAGAACTTCTCAGAAGGCTTCTACATAGTGTCTTAGAAGACAGGAGGAAACTAAGTTTTAAAGTATTTGTTTTTTCATTCATTTATTCTTTCATTTGACAAATAAATATATGTTAAATACTTTCTATCTGATTGCCACTGTGACAGACACTTGCTATAAAAGCACAGGCTGACCTCGAGGAATTCACAGCCTGATAGGAGAGATAAGACAGTGACCTCCTTGGAGTTAGGGACTGCCTTGGTTTACTGTTGTCTCCATAGCACAATGCCTGGCACATGGAAGGCATTCTATAATAGTTTGTTAAATGAACAAATACAATAAAAATAGCACAAGAAACTGTTCTACAAGATAAAAAGCTAGCCATGCCAAAGAAAAGTGTGAATAAAGGGGTCTCAGCGAATTAGAAAACAACGTTTAAAAAACCCAGTAACAGTTTCCTGAGTGTGCTCTAGTCAGTGGTGACTTAAGCAGTGTGGCATTGGCTTATTTTGGCTAACCCTAGACTTTCTAGATATTACAAGAGAGGCTTGTTGACCCCCAGATTACTCTCTTTCTATGGGCCCTAGGACACACCAAAGAGATTCAAATCCAAGGGGCTTAAAAATTACTGCTCATAGGTACTCAAATGGCTTGATAACCAGCACAGGACTATGGTTTCCAGAAGGCTGAAAGTGAAGATAAAATACTCATTTCAGCCTACTCCGATGACAATTCAGCTGAGATGCTTGAAGTCAGCAAGAAGCTGAGGCTGCAGGGGAGACCTGAGAGTGACAGTCCCTGAGGAGTTGGGGAAGAAGTGAGAGGAGGAAGTCTGACAGGCAACTGTACTACTTTACTTGTTTTTATTCTAGAAGTATCTACCTGCATACTAGGAAAACCAACAAGAAATATTTTGTTTTTCTTTGAGCTCTGTTTTCCCATTTTGAACTGACCATGTTACTGTTTCTCATAGTCATTTTTTAAAAGTTCGTTTTTTCAATTTTTGGAGCTCATAACCACTCTTTTCCTTTAAAGTGGAAACATTAATTTCGGTATGATATATAAGGTGGATTTTGATAGCTGAACAATGGGTTCTAATTGTCTTTGCTGAGAATGTGCAGAATTTTCAGTCCCATGATAGGTATATATAAGCTCTGCCTCTCTCTGGCCACTTACGTGCACTGCCGTTTTATCTATAGACTGCCCTCTGAAGGTCATAGTCAGTCACTGCAGTATGTTCTGATGATTATCATTCTTATGGAATTTCTCATGGAGCAGAAAGTTTGCTCTCCATGTTATGACATCAGTTGCAAGTGTTGTTTAGTGGCAAATTTGAATGCTAATAGAAATATATACAGCAATATGCATCCCATTTTATTTGAGTACATTTCCCTCTTATTTGTAAAAGTTTTTAATTAAAATAACATAGGGTTTAGCTTACAACTATGGAAAGAAGAATTGAACAAACAGGTAAGTGGAAAGGAATGAGAAAACCCAAAAGTGGGGAGAAAGCACTAAAATGGGAGATAAGTTAAAATGTCTTTTTTCTTCTTCTTTCCTTCCTCCTTCCCCCCTCCCTCTCTACTTCCCTTTCCCCTTCCTTCTTTCCTGGATTTTTTCCTTCTTTCCTTGTTCCCTTCTCCCTCCCTCTCTTCCCGTTCTTCCTTTTTCTGAAGCTGACTTTGAGATCCTTTATTAAAGAATAAACCTTTAAAACTTATAGTTTATTTTCCCTGTTGCAGGAAAAAATTATGTCCTACATATGTTCTCAACAAGACACTCTATCAAACAAAATAACAGAATGCTGCAAACTGACCACACTGGAACGTGGTCAATGTATAATTCATGCAGAAAATGATGAAAAACCTGAAGGTCTATCACCAAATCTAAACAGGTTTTTAGGAGATAGAGATTTTAACCAATTTTCTTCAGGGGAAAAAAATATCTTCTTGGCAAGGTAACACACTCTGTAAATGTATGTTCATACAAGTAAAAATGATTATGTGGCTGACAGATTTGCATTGTTGAAATGGAGAGTGATGGTTATGGTTTTTGAGTTCAATATGTGAAGATATTTGGCTAGAATGTTCTAAGCCAAAATAGATTTAAGTAGATAACTAGGGAATAAGTAATGGAATTTGGTGTATAATGGTGAAGCTTTCACCATTGTGACTCATTAACTGCTTTGCTTATGAAGCTGGATTTTATTTCACGTCAATTTCTCTGGAACCAGAAGCATTGTCATCCTGTAAAGATTACTCATATCAAGGCTGCCATTGAACTTTCAAATAGGATATGGATATTTTTGTAATAGGAAGAGTTCATGATTAAGAATGTACTCTTGCAACGCATGTTAAAGAAAAACTTTTCTCCAAAAGATAACACAATAGATAATGCTAGATAGAAGACCTTTTATAGAAACAGTTTATTGGCTATGTATTAACTACATGTTTTATATTTTTTAAGAAAATCAAAACATGTTTAGAGGCATTTGCAGTACATTAGTTTGTTTTAATACAAATGATAGGTCACGTTCTCACTCTATTTGCCTTTAAGGGAAGCAAGCAATCAAGTTAATACGTTTTCTTTAATTGTATAGTATGTAACTATGGACACTACTAGAGGAGGGATTTGTGCAGCACTTAGGACATTACACTCGATAATTTCCCAGGGTATTTCTAGATTTAAGAGTCTGATTCTAATGTAGTAATAAAAGTAATGGCCCAATTTTCTTTTTACTATTGCCTGAAGATATTACTCTATTGTTGCATTAAAATTAAACATTCACACATTGTTTGCACTGCTAAATAAAATTATGTAAGCTAGAATAAAGTTCAGATTTAAGAGGCACATAGTGACAACTTATTGGTGACAGAACTAATCCTATAATCTGGGAATACCATTAGTAAAGTCAAGAATTATCTTTAAGTTTACACATCCATGCACATCTAAAGCTAATTGTGTAATAGAAGCAGTTCTTCAGTTGCAAAGGTTCTTTGCAGTAGCATTTTCTCAGCCAGGAATGATCTTCCCCCAGATACTTGCATGGCTTCCTTCACTCAGCTGATCTCTGTTCTGATATCAGCTGCCGAGAGAGAATTTTCTTGACCACACACAAAGTTAGTGGCCTCTCCACCTTGGGTATCAACCCTTTTCTTCTTTTTCATCTTTATTTATTTTCATTGATTTATCACTAACTGAAATGAGATGGCCTATTTTTTTGTTTGGTTGTTCTGCCTCCCTATAATGTGTGCTTGTCAGAGGGCAGGTATTTATCTTACACATCATTGAGTCCATCTGCTTAAAGCAATGCTAGCAGAGAGTAAACACTGGAAAAATATCTGTTGAATAAATGAACATAAAGTCCATAATTGAAAAGACAAATTGAGAGATGCAAGAGAAAACAAAAAACCATTTTACAGGACAATTTGAAGGATCACAGTCTTCATTAACAGTTTTGCCATTCATATAATTCAAATCATATTTGATTTTCAGGTTTATTTATTTGAATTTAACTTCCACATGCCATATTATACAGGAATAACTAGAGAAGTGAGGGCTTCTTTTGTCTCTTAGTTCCAATAACTTGAAATATTTTTCTCCACATATTTCAGTTTTGTTCATGAATATTCAAGAAGACATCCTCAGCTTGCAGTCTCAGTAATTCTAAGAGTTGCTAAAGGATACCAGGAGTTATTGGAGAAGTGTTTCCAGACAGAAAACCCTCTTGAATGCCAAGATAAAGGGGTAAGTTTCTCTAGAATTTTAGGGGAGTGTGAAAAACTGGATTGATGTCATCTGTTAAAAATGCTATTGGTTTGAAAGTCTCTAGTTGTTAACTAGTTGTTAGCCAGTTGTATCTATTAACTGGTTGTCTAGATATTAAACTGTTATTAACTAGCAGTCAGCAGCTAGTGGTTTGCTTTAGAAATAAAAATGTTAATCGCTTCTCGGCCTTTTGGCTAAGATCAAGTGTAGAAATAAAAATGTTAACCAAAAGTTCTATGATCCACAAATAAAGGTAGTATTCATTATTCATTTTTGGATAACTTTAGAAAGGCAAGAATTTGGTACAGAAAGAACTGTAATCATTTATCCAAAGACTGAGTTTTGCCATTAAATGATTTTGTGATTCATAAAGTTTTAAACTTAATCTCCCCAAAATCCATTTTCTTTAATTATCAAAATTTATACTTTACCATCTTTAATATTAACAAATCTCTGATTGGTTTTATAATAGTATATAATATTGATCAACTTTTATATACAAAGTTAAGCATCCAAGAAGAGAAAAATGCATATGTAATAATTCTTCATTTTCAGGAAGAAGAATTACAGAAATACATCCAGGAGAGCCAAGCATTGGCAAAGCGAAGCTGCGGCCTCTTCCAGAAGCTAGGAGAATATTACCTACAAAATGCGTATGTTTTTGTAAATGGTATTTTTAGTGAATTAAAATTATTAACAGACAAGGGAAATATAAATTCAAATTAGTAACTCCATAGCTACTCTAATCTCAGTTCCTATTTCAGACTGGAAGTCAGTGTAATCTGACTACCCAATATTCTGGAAGAGAATGTAGCCTTCCCCATTCTCCTCCTTTGGAAGCAACAAGAATGACCTGTGAGGTCTGATCTGTGGTATTGACTTTAAGTTCCCCATACTGTGCAAATGTTTGCAGTAAAGATATCCATTCTGTCACAGTCTGTCCTAGTTAAAACACCAAGAGATCACAGTTAAAAATCAATGAAGCTCTGAGGTTTGGAATACGAGTCAGCCTTCTGCCTGGAGTTCGCTTTTTCATTGTGATGTGCTTTTATAATAGGAGTACAGGGAGTGGTTGTTAGAGTAAATGCATCTCAAATGTTGGTTCAAATACGATGTAGATGAAACAAATGAGCTGACCTCATGTCTTCTGACATGAGAGAAGAGAGTCTGTGAGAAGCAGCAAGGTGGCTGAAAACTCGTGAATGACTCAGCAGGACTTAGTAGAAAAAAATGCTTCTTTCAGATTTCTCGTTGCTTACACAAAGAAAGCCCCTCAGCTGACCTCATCGGAGCTGATGGCCATCACCAGAAAAATGGCAGCCACAGCAGCCACTTGTTGCCAACTCAGTGAGGACAAACTATTGGCCTGTGGTGAGGGAGCGGTGAGTGTCTGCTTGGTTTAGTCCCATCTCATTTCTGCCCTGTTTGACTTGAAATAGCCTCATAATTCCCCTCTAGGGAAGATGGTAAAAACCAATGTAGAGATGGCTTTAGGAGGCTTGTTTGATTAGTCACAGTTGGAAGGTGTGAGACTCAGCTCTGGATGGCAGGCGTGTGGCCAGGCTTCCTGTTCTTCCAGGATGGCTGGTGGAAGTGCAGCCAGTTTAGTCAACAACATCTGAGCCAACTTTATATATCGGAAAGACAGAATGACTAACATGTAGCCCATAATTCATAACTTAATTCATAATTTGTAACTTCAACTCACAATTTCTGCTTTTTGTTCATATATTTACTTTGATGTTTTAAAAAACTTTATCTTTGATTGATTAAAATTAGTCATACTATTTTAGCCATACTTACATTTTTACCTTTTGTAGTATAATGTTATTATTGTGACATTAAGGATAATTTTTTCCCTTTCACAGGGTATAGGGTGCAGCACAGGATAAGTATCATGTTCTGAATAGTAAAATGACTTTCGAGTCAGTAATGCCAATATTCTTTACTTCCTAATGTCACTAGTGTCATACATAAGATTACAGGATGAATTAAAAATATTTTTCCCATAAAGTCATAATTGCAAATGAAATTGTCTATTTTATCCCTTTTCCTCTTGATCATAATGGGGAGTTATTTGCTACTTAGTCTTCCTGTAGTAAAATTTTTCCCCAAAGGTTAACAGTAATAGGAGAGTTTCCTATGATTAAACGTCACCTCAATTGTTTCTTGAATTCCCCCTGTTGGGAGGCTGCAGGGATGCAGGATGGTGTAATGGTTCAGGAGTGTATGTTCCAGAGGCCACCAGCCTACAGCCGCATTCTACTTCCACTACTCTTTAGCTGTATCACAGTGGGAAAGCTACTTATGTCATTAAGTTTGAGATTTTTCATCTGACATTTGAGAATAAAAATTATACCACCCTCACACGACAGCTGTTTTAAACAAGATAATCTGCGTAACTCACACAGCACTAGTCTGATATATAAAGTGAACACAAAACATATTATTTCTTAATACAAGTTATTAATAGGTGATTAAGAAATATCTCCAAAGTAGGCAAGGTAGCAAGATTCTACATTAGGAAAGTCTTAAAAACATGCAAAATTGGTCCTATTTCTTTTCAGTTAGGATGATATAGTAGCTGCAAGTATATACATGTGTGTATGTATACGAATAAAAGGGGTAAGTTTGTGCTATTCTTACCTTCAGATACTGATTCTCAAAAGAAAAATGGAAAGTTCTACTAAATACACATGGGAAACATAAAGGCAGAGATATTTTCATCCTTTAGAAGTGTGTATGTAACTGGAAGCATGTTTCGAATAGCTGACACAAATAGCTAAATGACTATCCTCAACATCACATATGGACTACCTGCTGCTACGTGCTAAGGCTTAGCCCAAACAAATGAGTAAATGCTGGAATTAACAATATAGTGTCACATGATCCTATATAGCAAATTTTCCTGTAATATTAATTGTAAATTGCTGGACATTGAAATTATTGCAGCAGTTTTCTGAAAAACTGGACCAACTTCATGACTAATGCCCAATCTCCTTGCTTTTTTTTCTCATTCTCCTAACCAGGCTGACATTATTATTGGACACTTATGTATCAGACATGAAACGACTCCAGTAAACCCTGGTGTTGGCCAGTGCTGCACTTCTTCATATGCCAACAGGAGGCCATGCTTCAGCAGCTTGGTGGTGGATGAAACATATGTCCCTCCTGCATTCTCAGATGACAAGTTCATTTTCCATAAGGATCTGTGTCAAGCTCAGGGTGTAGCGCTGCAAACGATGAAACAAGAGTAAGAAACTGTTACTTGCTAGCATGGAAAATAATGACAACCCCAAAGAGCAACTGAGACTTCTACCTCTCTCACCTAACACTATTGGGCTCACTAACAGAGCATTACTCCCAAAGCACTTAAAATGTCTTTGAAAATAGTTTTGTCTCAGTGTCTTCCCAGCCTCATTGGGGAAGCAGGTCTAGAAAAATTAATGAGGGCAGACAATTTCCTGTTTGTAAAAATAATCTCTGTTGTAACTATTATCATGATATGTATTTGGGGTTTGAGGAAAAGTGGGCAATCTATTCTGAGGAATTAGAGTGTATCTTTGCAGCAAATTTGGGTACTTCCATTCCAAGCACAGGAAACACATCATTGAATCTTTTTTTTTTTTTTCACATTATTTACGCTTTGAAGAGAATAACTATCTTATTTAATTCAACCATGCCATTTGGGTGTTAAGAAATGACATGTACATTTCAGTTCATTGTGGGAGCTCTTTTGTAATGGTGATGGTCATGCAAGTCAATGGAGCTTATGTTCTTCAAACTCACATGCATTTTAATCCTCACTTGTTTTGTAAATAGTCTTCCTTCACTGGAAAACCCATTCTTCTCTTTTTTCCTTTATCACAGTCTAAGGTATGTTTCAAGGTATGATAAGAATGTTGCCTCTTCTGGCAAGCTTTTCCTATTGCTCTGATCTACTCCCTATTGCTCTGGTCTAAGTCCAACATGAAAGGCTTGCTAAATGAGTGGTGCAGGCAATTAGTGCTGCCAGTGCCTAGATAAGGGTGTGATAACTGGATGGGCAGGATGCGGAGATCTGGGTCTTTGAGTGTGGATAAGACACAGTTAAGAAGAGAGGACAGGAAAGGATATTCCTAGGGGGTGGGAGGAGATTGCCTTCCACTACACATAAGTATGGTCAAGTATGAAATAGTGTTCCATCCATAACCTGCACAACTCCAGGCCAGTGGAACACTTGGCGTGTTTTCACCCTCAGTCTTTCTACTGAAAGTACTAGACAAGGTGTGTGTGATCAGTCTGGTGATAGGTTGATGGAGTAAGGGTTTAGGCTCTGAGAATTCTCTACCAGCAAGGCTGTAGAAAAATAGCATTGCATAACAGACTTCTCTTGTATTTTGTTTTGTTTTAAATCACAGGTTTCTCATTAACCTTGTGAAGCAAAAGCCACAAATAACAGAGGAACAACTTGAGGCTGTCATTGCAGATTTCTCAGGCCTGTTGGAGAAATGCTGCCAAGGTCAGGAACACGAAGTCTGCTTTGCTGAAGAGGTACATGCAGCTCATTTCATACTCAAAATACTTGCTATGGAATTTTCTGTAGTGGATAATGAAAGGAAGACCCTACAAATTTATAACTTTAAAATATTTTCAGAGAGATTTAAATTTCATTGAGAAACAGATTGAAGGATTTTAGAACATTAAAAAAAATCACATTTTCTTAATATTAGGAAGAATTATAATATAAAAATATATTGATAGAATTAGTAATTTTAATTTATTTCATAGTAGAGAAACCCATAAAGTGAATGTATAAATAATTCATGGTAATTTAGATAGTTTCTGGCCTAAAATTGATCAATTCAGCTAAATGGATAAAAGGATTTAATAGCAAATTAATTATACAAACAGAGTATTAGGAGAATATTTGTAGAAAATGTTTTTGAACTCATTTAGAAGCTTGCTTTTGTACATCAACAGAGTAGTACTTAGGAGTTATTTTAATTACATAGTAATTTTAGATGGATAATTAGCTAGGTTTTTTTTAACTAGGGAATTCTACCTAACATTTAAAAAATTACCTTTTTTCAGCTTTATTGAGGCATGATTGACAAATACAAATTATATCTGCTTAGGGTATACATGTGATGTTTTGATATATTTATACATTGTGAAATGATTATCACAATCAAGACAATTGGCTAAATTTTACAATTTTTCAGTTTGTATTGCTACATATATTTGAATATAGCAACACTATACTTTAAAAAGATATTCTATAACTTAGCCTTTTTGTCAGTTTTACCTTTCTCGCCATGTAAAATCCAAAGACAGATGTATTTAGAAATGTAGAGTTTTTCTATAAATAATATAATTAGATGCATTTGAGTATGTGCACTTATCAGTATATGTGTGTGTTTTTGGTGGGATCAGGTGGGGTGGGACATAGATAATCAAATTAGATAAAACTGGTAAAACAGATTTGATGTAAAGCATTTCTGAAAAACATGACAGAAGAAGATTAATGTTCTATAATCTGAGAAGACATTTATTTAGATACAGAGAACATGAACAAATAGTAGCAGTACTTTATCTGCAAACCTTTTAATTTCTAATAACTTGTAATTTGTAGAGGAAGGGGAAAGATTGAGTCAGAATAGGCACAGATTTGGAGATTGTTATAGAAAAAAACTGTTGATATGAATGAATATTGTTTTCTCCCTGGCTTTTACTATCCTAGATTGTTGGCATCAGAGATGTATTTCTTCATTTTTAACTTAATCTACAAACCCGTAAATTCACCCCAGATTGTACAGTGTTAACTGTATGATTGGTATAATAATCCATTTCTTTATCTGATTATGTTTATTCTTAATTTTCAGGGACAAAAACTGATTTCAAAAACTCGTGCTGCTTTGGGAGTTTAAATTACTTCAGGTAACAAAACATTCAGACAAGACTGAATATAATGTTGATTCTCCAGAAATATCAATCCATAATGAGACAGATCATGAGGACTGCCATTAATTCTCTTAAAAATAAATGGAATTCAAGAAAAAGTTTATTTTAAAAGCACTTGAACAAAATTATGCACACGATGTTAAATTAGTGGCTCAACTATGCAAAATCCTTTTAGGTTATTTAAAAGGCTTCAACAAATGCTATCAGAAGACTTTCCTATGTATCCAATGTTTCTCCGATATAAAATAATAGAACCAGTTACTTACTGCACCTATTAGTTTAATTAATATTTAATATATTTTTGCTCATATTGCAGGGGAGGAGAAGACAAAAGGAGTCTTTCATTTCGTGTGAACTTTTCTCTTTAATTTTAACTGATTTAACACTTTTTGTGAATTAATGAAATGATACTTTTATGTGAGATTTCCTTATCATAGAAATAAAATATCTCCAAATGTTTCCTTTTCTGAGTCTGCATATTTATGAAAAGTTATAGATAATTTCTTTAGTTTTGTATACCATTGTCTGAAGCAGATTCTGTTAAAATAGCATTAAGTACTGATTATTATAGGAGATTAAAGCCATCCAAGGATGGATTTACAGTACTAGATCACTTGGTGAACTGAAAACATGTTGCCAAGTTAAACACTATTTGATGCTGCCAGGGCATTTTGTTTATTAAATGGCCATCACTGAAGTATTCTAACAGATAATCTGGAGATGAGAAAAGAAATTATTCTTCTTCTATAGGATCTATGAAAATTTCACAACTACTTTTTTTCTCTATCTTACACAGTTCGGGATTCACAGATATTTTAAAACATAAATACATTGTAGCTTTGATTGAATATAATTAATATTTTCATAAATTAAATTTTTATTCCACAAATGTTTACTAAGCCCTCACTGAGTACCAGGCCCTGTGCTGAGTACAGTCACTGTTCTCCAGTTGCTTCAGTAGAGAAGGAAGCAACACAGAAAGAATGCCTCAGATTATGACCACAAGGAGTTGACAACAAATTGTTGAGGGAACCAAAGGGTGGGTGACATCGGTTCTGACTAGAGAAGGTACCATAAACATTTAAGAAGAGTCTTAGAAAATGAATAAGCATTCATCAGTTCAAGTAAAAGAGAAGTTCATTTTATGAGAGAGGGGCATGGTCAGAGGTACTGGGTATGAAAAAGCATGATGAATAGTTTTAGAGGAGTACAGGGTAGGTGGGAAGGGTAGAGATGTAGAATGTCAGGCAGGATGTGGAAGCTATGAAGGGCTAAGCCAGACTCTCATGGCTCTATTCTAAAGAGGTTGGACAATATCTTATGAGTAACAGAGGACCAAAGTGATATCTAAGCAGAGATGTGCTGTTAATAATTAGCTTTGAGGAAGATAATCCAGGAGATATGGATAATGGGCATTGGGGCAGGGAAAAGGGTAGAGAGGGGCAAAGTCAGCAAGAGGTGACAAAAAGACCAGTCCACCAGTAGGGAATATTAGCTTTGAATAGAAATCTAAATATTACATGCATGCTTGGCCTGTGCTCAAGATTACCAACAACTTTCACACTGCAAAATCCAATAGTGGATTCTTAGTCTTCAGCTTATCTGAGTTCTCTCGGTAGCATTTGACACAATTGATCACTCTCTTTTCCTTGAAACATTTTCCTCGCTTGGTGTTCAGACTTTCTTCCAACCTCATTGGCTGTTTCACCTCAATCTTCTTTGCTATGTCCTCCTAACTTTTTGACCTCTAAATGTTGGAGTGTCCCAGAAGAGTTCTTCCTTGACCTAAATTCACTCATCCAGACTTGATGCATTAAATGCCATCTAGATGTTGACAACACATGTTTATAGCTCCAGCCTGGATTTCTTCCTCGACTTCCAGGCTCTTATGTCAGCTTCCTCCCTCACATCTCCATGCTGATAATGTATAGACAATACAAACTTAGCACATTACAAATTGAATGTGAATCTACTCCTTGTCCGAAACTTGTACCACCATCTTGTGCATCTGTCTGTTTTTATGAGTCAGAAATTTTGGATTTATCGATGACCCCTCTCTTGCACACTACCCACACATTCAATCTATGAGCAAATCTTGTCAGCTCTACCTTTAAAAAGTATTCAGAATTTAACTATTTCTCAATACGTTGGTACCAGTCACAGTCATATGCCTCACTGGGGTTACTGCAATAGATTCTTAATTGATCTTTTTACAAGTGCCCTTGCTCCACCCTCAACCCTATTCTCAAAAGTGACCATTATGTCACTTTTCCACTCAAAATCCTCTAGTGGCTTCCCACCTCTCTCAGAGTAAGATGCAAAGTCTGTCCAATGACCCTACATGATAATATCTTTCTGACCTTTTTTGCTACTCCTGTGCTCAGACACAGAGGTCTCCCTGTTGTTCTTCAATTACCAATCAATGTCCTGCTCAAGGTTTTGCCCTCATGACCCTTCTGGTGTGGAAGACTCTCAGATATGTGTGAGGCTCCCTTCATCACCAATTTCAAGCTTCTACTCATAGTCCTCTGCTAAATGATGATGTTTTCCTCAACTACCTTATTTTAATTCAGAAGTGCCATTCCCAACCCCCACAATGCTTATTACCATCTGACAGACACTAGATTTTACTTGTTTATTATCTGTCTGCCTCACTAGAGTGTAAGCTCCATGAGAACAGTAACTTTTGTCTGCTTTGTTCACTTCTGCTATCTTCAGCATATAGAACAATGCCTGAAACATAATAGCCATTCTATAAAAATTTATTTGAATATGTGGAGGAATGCTACATGCCATGGGCTATATTTTCTTATAAGGTGGTGAAACTAGAGGGGTTGCTAGCTCCCTCTAATAAAATCCACACTAGAGAAAGAAAAAAGCACAGGCCTAAGAAATTAACATAAAAACCATAATATACCACTGAGGATGTTAAAGACGTGTGTGTGTGTGTGTGTGTGTGTATGTGCGCGCACGCGTATGTGTGTGTATGCGTGTGTGTGTGTGTGTTGTGTAGAGTGAGAATTAGGGAGTGGTGGCATTCTAGAATAGCTGGCTTGAAAGAGGGTGGATAGGTTTGGGGGACAGATTTTAACTTGCGATTTTGTCTATACACTAAGTTACAAAGAAGACTGCCACTTGCTTCACTGCCACTGTGAAACATAAATCAGAAGCAGTAGCTCAAATTGCTTGGGGCCCACAGCATAATATTGGGATAAGGCTAAACTCCAGCTGGGGCAAAAGACTGGTGAAAACAGGTGGGTGCAAAACAGCTACTGTTAAAAATTAAGTCTTCCAATCTCTCTCATGCCTACTTTCCCAGAACTTGTGGACTACTGTATAAGGAATTTGCCTTCTCCAATGATGCTGCTTTCAAAGAATTAAGGAAAGGCTGGGCGCGGTGGCTCACGCCTATAATCCCAGCACTTTGGGAGACCGAGGCAGGCGGATCACGAGGTCAGAAGATCGAGACCACCCTGGCTAACACGGTGAAACCCCGTCTCTACTAAAAATACAAAAAATTAGCCAGAATGGTGTGAACCCAGGAGGCGGAGCTTGCAGTGAGCCGAGATCGCGTCACTGCACTCCAGCCTGGGCGACAGAGCGAGACTCCGTCCCCCGCTCCCCAAAAAAACCAAAAAACAAAACAGAGAGTTAAGGAAGGGTCCAGAGAATTGCTCCATAGTATGGAATTAAATTAATAATCAATAACAGTAATATCTCTAGAAAGTCCCCAAACATCCATTAACTAAGTAACATGCTTGTAAACATTCATGAATCAAAAAAGAAATCAAAAGCATATTTAAAAAAAATTTTGCCCGAATGAAAATGAAAAACATGGCAGAATTTATAGAATGTCACTAGAACAGTGACATTTAAATTAAAGGAAATTTATAACGCTAAAAGCCTATGTGTTATAGAAAAGAAGGAAGATCTCAAATCATGACATTAGCTTCTTCCTTATGAATCTAGAGATGAAAGAGCAAATTAAAAACAAACTAGTCATGAGAAAGAAGATAATAAAGATCAAAGGAGAGTCAATAAAATGGAGAACAGAAGAAATCAATAGATACAATCACTGCAACCAAATGCTGGTTCTTTGAGATCAATACTATTAATAAACCTCTATCCAGATTTCTCAGGGAAAAATGTTACCAATGTTGGGAATGAGAGAGCTGATAGTATTACATGTATTAAAATAATGAGAAGAAAATGTTGTGAAGAAAACATTATGTCAATAAATTCAATGACATGAAAAGGGCAGATTCCTTGAAAGACACACCTACCAAAGCTCATGCAAGAACAAATAGTTACCATGGTTATTTATGTATTAAGGAAATTGAAATTTTAACTAAAATCATTCCCACAAAGAAAACTCCAGGCTTCATGGTGAATTCCATTAAACATTTGAGGAAAAATAATATTAATTCTATACTAACTCTTCCAAAAAAATCGAAGAGATGGAAATACTTTTTGATTCATTCTATGAGGCCAGCATTACCCTGATACTAAAATAAGACAACGATAATGCATAAAAATAAAATTATGGACCAATAGTCCTTATGAACAGGGGTCAGCAAATATTTTCTATAAAAGGTTTGATAAGTATTTTAGGCTTTGCAGGCTATTTACAGTCATCATCGTCCCCCATCCCCCTCCCCCTCCCCTTCTCCCTTCCCCTTCCCATCCCTCCCTCTTCCCCTTCCTCCTCCCCTCCTCTTCTTCTCCTTCTCCTTCTCCTTCTCCTCCTCCTCCTCCTCCTCCTCCTTCTTCTTCTTCTTCCTCTTTTTTCTTCATCTTCATCTTCTTTTGCCTCTTTCTCTTCTCTTTCTTTTTCTTCTTCTTCTCCTCTTCTCTTCCTCATGGTCTTTCTCCTCCTCTTTCATTCTCTTCTTCTTGAATACTTTAGAATGTAAAAACCTTTTTAAGCTCATAAGCCATACAAAAATGAACTGCAAGCTGAATTTAGCATGTGGGCCATAGTATGTTGACCCCTGCACATGAACGTAGATAAAATTAAATCTAACAAAATGCCAAAAAGATAATATATTATGACTAAGTGAGATTTATTTCAGAAATACAGGATTGCTTTAACATTGAAAAAATCAATGAATGTAATTCAGTATGTTTGTTGTTTTAAAAAATTAATAATGATCTTAATAGATACAGAAAACACATTTGACAAAATCCAGTATTCATTCCTGATAAAAACTGCCAGCAAACTAAAAGCGGAATGGAACTTCCTAAACCTGATAAAGGGCATAAATGAAAAACTATAGCTAAGTTTGTATTTAGTTGTGAAAGACTGAATTCTTTCTCCTAAGGAAAGGAAAAGAGATAAGGTCATCTGCTTTCATTACTTCTATTGAACATTGTACTAGAGGCTTTAACAATAAATCATGCAAGAAAAAGGAACAAAAGGCATCTAGAATGGAAATAAAGAACTAAAATTGTCTTCATTTGAAGAT